CCCCAGGGTGATTTCTTGCTTTCTGTCTGTCTCGCTCTGTCTTTCTCGGGGGGGCACATGCACCCTATAGCAAAAACAAACAAACAAACAAAAAACAACCCTCTAAAAAAAAATGCAGCAGGGCAACTGAAACCGACACTAATTCAACAGGATGTGGTATGGGGATACATGAGGCAGGGTGTCTTCCTGTTGCCTGGTTATTTACAAAAAGGCAGGTTTTCTCCCCTGTGCTTAAAATTGTTTCCCAGGGGATGAACTTGTGCTCCATTACAGGTAATGAACTGGTAAGGGAATAATTTCCAATCTCTTTCAAACTTGTATAACAATGTAACTTATTCAAATGCTGAAAGAGGTGTAGAAATGTAGTCCACACTAAATCCACACACCGAAAGAATAAAAAAAAGAACGGCTTCCTATTAGAGGACTTAGATCACTCACTATAAAAGTCAAAGTGACCCCAAGAAGCTAGGCTTCTTTTGATTAATCAAAATGGTTTTCTTTCAACACTGGAAAGAAAAGCGATCATTTTATTTGTCCTTAGAAGTTCACTGCTCACAAAATGGATTAGGATCGATATCACATGAGCCATGAAAGGTGAGGACAGTGCCTCCAGTGCAGGCACAGGGCACTGTGTCAACATGAACACACTCCTGCTGCCAGATGTCTTCAATGTGTCTGACAGCAGGCGCCGCACTGGTGGTTTCATAAAAGCCAAGGTTCGTGTGGGCCCAATAGCCCCCAGCCCTTAGGCTCAAATCCTCCGTGGTTAGCCGTCCCACCTTTTGAAGCAACTTACTCTCTTAGGCTGGTACTAAGTAGGTGAAATACCTTGATGTTGACCCAAGATACCTTAGACATGAGTTTAAACACCTTATGTACACCCACCCACCAGACTGGTTTAATCCACCAGTGTTTGTTTCACACTGGGCTATAAGATTCTCTAATTGTACACACTAATGGACCAAACTAACTTAGAAAAGAAATGGGTTATGAGGTTCTCAGCAGCCCAGGCAGTAAATCAGGCCAAACCTCCATAAACGAAATACTTGGGAAAGGGCAGCTATTGTTACAGTCAGACGGAAAAACAGACCACAGGAGACAGAAGAGGAACAGCCCTAAGCTTCTTACACAGAAAGAAGAGCACTTCTCTTTGGGCAGGACCTGAGAGGGCCATGTCCCTACCCCTCATCTCCTCGTCCAGGACAAAAATTAAAGTCTCCCCTCTCAGGCCCACCACACTTTCATTTTTAGAGTTTCTCCCAGATTCTTTCACTTCATCTACATTCGAACCCTGTGCCAGACCATGGCACCATTTTCTGGACATGAACAGCAACAGGAATGAGCCTAAACCATGAGCACCTGCAGTTCTTACCACCCACAGCCACCCACACCTGCCTGAAACTCCAGTTCCCATTTTTTTCCAGCCTCCCACATGCTTCTAAGAGGAACCAGATCAGGGCCCACGGGTGGCATGGAAACGAAAGGAAAAGGAGGGGGGATGCTACTCTGGATGGATGGATGAACCTGCCAAGGAGGGGGGCACATCCAGCTTGGCCTTAAGGTCAGAAGGTGACAAAGACTGGCTCCTGAGACTTGGCTGTCTACTTTGGAGAAAGCTCAAAGGCTCAGAAGACCCAGAGGGTGCCCACCAGTGCACATAAGGACCCTTACTCCCTGGCCCAAGCACCCAGAGGTCAGGGAGGAGACACCCCTCTCACCAGGGCATAAATTGGGTGTCCATCTGTCAGGCCAGGGGCACTGTCCTTTCGAACACTAATGGTCCCGCCAGTCCAGGGGTCATCCACCGTGACCTGCCACGCTCTAAGCAGCAGACCGAGAAGCCCGGGTGTCCAGGTCGTCACCAGCGGCCCGGACCTGTCACCCGGACTTCCTGGGGGTTCCCTCCCGCGCGTGCGGACTGCGCGCACCACCTACCCGGAGCTCGCCCTCGGTACGGTGCAGTCCCAGGCGCCGCAGTCCCACGGCCAGGTCCTTGACACACAGGCCGCCGTCGCGGTTGACGTC